CTGTACCTACTACTATTGACACTGTTGTTCTCCAAGCCACGTGCAGTCTGCCCACATGTCTGCATACTGATGAGCTACTATAAGAGCTCCGAGTGTGTGTGTGTGTGTGTGTGTGTGTGTGTGTGTGTGTGTGTATGATGTGTGTGAGCGAGCTGTGTGGAGAAGTCCCTGAGATTGGGTTCTCATTTTCACATCCCTCAGTGGCTCTTGGCTCTCAAGCCATGGCTCCTGGTTGATGACTGGGACCCAGGGAAGCAAGCTAGTTCGGGCTCTCAGGAGCAGAAAGCTTTCAGTTGGCACGTAGGCATCACTCATAGGACCAGAGATGGCAGAACAGAGCATGTCGTTCTACAGAGAAGCAAGACTCAGAGACCTAGTGGTTTTAAAATATATATTTTTATGGATTTCAATGAGGAAGGAAGAGGGAGAGAGATAGAAACATCAATGATGAAAGAGAATCATCGACTGGCTGTCTCCTGCATGCCCCACACTGAGGATGGAGCCCTCATTCTGGGCATGTGCCCTGACTGGGAATTGAACTGCAACCCCCTGGGTCATAGGTCAAAGCTCAACCACTAAGCCCATGCCAGCCAGGCCAGATGTAGTGATTCTTTTCTTCTCCCCCAAGGCACTGTCCAAATAGCGGTTTCTTTAAAACCATGATGTTAGAACCCAAGAAATCATCTCCAGGTAGGATGGTATCTGAATTGTAAAGGAAAGCCTGCTGCTCAGACTGGGAAACAATCTTCTGCCAATGGAGACAGTGTGTCCCCCGTTTTGAAATCATAGGGACATAGTTTCTTGGCCACAGTTATTCTTGTGACTTCATTTTTGTAATGAATCAACCTCCCACACATTTCACACTCTAGGGAATCCGAAATGGAAAGTACGCTTGGGAAGACAGTTGGCAAGTGAAATATGCTGACCACAGGGCTCATTCACCCCTCCTGAGTATTACCCTGGAGAAGTGAAATGTGTGCTCTGACTCAAAAGCTGTGAGAAATGCTCATGGAAGCCTTTTCATAATTTCCAATAGGGAGACGCTAATGGTCATATGTAGGATGATCAGTGATTCTGGCTTAATCTGGCTCAGGCTGCTCGGAATGACTAGAAAAGATGCTTAGTTGATTGAAACCCTAACTTAGTGACACATTAAAGAAAGTTGGGGTGTCAGGACATCTGAAATACACCATAGAGAAAGGAACCCAGAACCTAGGGAGGAACGTCGAAATTGATCTGTTACATGTGACCACCGAGCACGCTCTGGCTGGCCCTGAGAGATCCCCAAGGACGTTCCCATCACAAAGGCATCAGCAACCCGTTCATGAGAAAAAGTCTATAGTGCTTGTCCTCTAGAATCATGGAACATGGGGAAATCCCACCACTTATGTCACTGAGAAGGTTAGACTTATCAGAGGCCAAAGGACAATATGTAATGGCCCAGATAATGAGCACTCTGAGTCTAATTTAATTATGGAGTTAAAATAAAAAGTCTATTCTAATTATTAGCTTAGACGTGATCCTTGTAATAGACTTTAGTGTTGGAATGGTAATTAGAATGGCTTGAACCCCAGAGACCTTGGGCAATTTTGAACAGATGAGTGTGTTACCGGCATGGAGGGCAGTTTACCAGATGGCTGCAGAGGAGGTGCCCATAGGCTGCATCCCAACGCCCAGGCTTCTTTGGCATCTCCACCTTCTAGTCTCTCTCATCTCCAATCCCCTCATTCTCTGCTGGAAGCCTGGCCTCTGGGGCCACAACCACCACCCCATCCCTCTTGATGTCTCCTAAACCACGATCTCCATTCTTGATCTGCAGTCTCTAGATCGGGACCCATTCCTGGAAACCCTCAACATCCAATGAGTCAAATATAACAACAACCTCGTCTCCCTTTCTCTCCATCTCCAAGGACCAACTCCTCACACTTCTATTCCTGAGTGACTTGTCTATAACTGACTTCCCTTGCTTGTCGTTGGCAATGTCTTAATTCCTACCTTCACCTCCAACATTTTCACTTCAATTATTGTATAATATCCTATGTGGCCTATGGCTTTCTCATTTCTCCATCTCCTCTCCATACCCTCATTTAAAATTCTCCCATGTTTCCCTGCATCTTAAAAGGTAAATTGTCTTTAGAGTCCCCCATCCATTGGCCACACTTTCTCTAGTTTCATCTCTTACTATATTCTGGTTCCAGACCCACTCCTAACCGCGGGCAGTCATGTCTCCAGTGCCATGCCCTTGGGCATTTTATTCTCTCCATTTTGGAACTTATGCCACTTCTCCTTCAACTTTCCCTGACTAATTCTTACCCATTTTTTAAGATCCAGCTTCTAGTCACCTTGCCGGGAACATTCTTGACCCATTCAACTTGGATAAGACTTCCATGGCTGTGAGTGTCTCAGCAGAGGAGATCTCAAACCCATGTCCCCAGCTATCTATGGGAGCAGGCAGTCATTGGTAGCGACAAAGTAAATGAACCAACGAGTGAAGAAAACGCTATCAGGTCTCAGCCTTTCGAATTACTCAGAGCAGAATGTTATGGTGAAGTCTTCATTTATTTAATGCAGTGCCCACACATTGCAGGCAGACCCTTTGGCTCACTTCACTCGGATGCAGCAGAAGCTCCTCCCGGGGCAGAGCCCTGGCATGCGGAAAATGCAATTTTTCTTCTTCTTCAGGCACACGCTTATCATGGAGTCACAGAACTCGTGCATGTCGCTATACCCACAGCCTGAAGAAAGAACCAAAATGTGGGGAGGCAGAGTTCCCATGCAGGGGAAGGAACCATTCAGTCCAACCAGAAACCCCCAAACTTGACTGCTCACAAACCCATTCTGTCCAAGGCACCCCCTCTTCCCATCTGCCCTTTCCTCATGTTTGTTGGGCAGGAGGATGAGGCCAGACTTCACGGTGGCCATGACAGAAATGTCTGTGCTGCCATGGGATCTGGGAGGAGGCACTGTGCCCACCCTTTTGGGGTGACAGTCCCAGACCCTGATGTGCCCTGGTGGCTGTCACTGTGGAGTGGTCAGCCATGTCCTTTAGACCCAAACATGAACATGGGTGTCTTCAACTTCCTGGCAAGAATCCCACTGAGAATAACAGGACACTACAACCCCTCTTCTGGGAAAGGAGGAGCTACAGGTGTGTTCATTCCAACATGTAAACATACATGACATGCCCCAGAACATGTGAGGCATGTCAGCCACCTTCTGCAGTTCACCCATGTTCCTAGGCATAGAACTCCCCGCCCACCTCCCACCTGCCTTCAGGATGCAACAGATATGCCTTAACAATTAAATGAAAGACCTAAAATTTATGTCTCTAAAGAAAAAGACCCAGAGGAATTGGGGGCAGGAGCTGAGGTCAGAGGTTTCTAAAAGAGAGAAAAAACATTGCACTTAACTCAAAGCCTCCTGGAAAAGATTCCTTTTCCTGCCTCTTAGAAGATGAGAGGGCTGTACTCGGCCCCAAGGAGGAAGGGTCTCAGCAGTCCCCTGTCCAGTACACGCATCAGAAGTCACCACCTTTGGGACCCAGGCAGCAGAGGTCCAGGGGTGGCTCTTGTTGGCCTTAGACTGGCCATAGGGCCAGAGACTCTCACTCCCCGACTTCACCTACTCACAGACCTCAGCCCTGTTTCCTTGATGGCACCTTTCCTGTCCCACATGCTGGCAGTGAGTGTGAGGGCCAGGCTTTAGTAGAACTTCAGGACATGCTTGTCAGTGGTCCTTGTAGCCCTCTTCCTTCTGGAAGCTGCCAGGAAAGGGCCACTTTACCAGCTCTTTCCCTGTGCTTCCCCAAAGGGCCCCTGCCTGCCCCCTACAATCAACCTCCCCTCTCCTTGATGGAAAGGCAGCCCAGCGAGGAAGTTGATGGGGTCACTATTCTGAGCGTCACAACAAAACCCATCATAACTCACACGAGGTCACAGTAAGCAGGTTGTTAACCCAAAGCTGAGAGGATGTGGCCAGGGACAGGCCCCTCCCTCCTGCTCCTGTCAAATTCTGTCTGTCAAATGAATTAGCACCTGGAGCCGTGTGCCCTTAGATGAGGAGTGAAACGTGTGATTAGATGAATAGGTTTCTGTTAGTGCAGCACACAGGGGAAGAACAGAATGGGGGGGGGGGACAATGACTAGGGGGTGAGCACATGGCACAGTGGCCCTCAGTGCCCTGCCTGACCCCATAGGCTGAGCCCTCACAAGCCACCTTTCTCTCGGATCCAGGTGTGCTCACACTCCAACCCTGGGCCACCTGTGACACTTGGCACTTCTGTGCTGCAGGGAACGGACAGGCAGGAGGCAGACCCCAGCCTCCCTCTCTGCTCATCCCTTCAACCTTGGAGCAAGATACAGAGCAACCTATACCCCTGTTTCTCCAGTGCCACAGTTCTAAGTATGTGAACTGCCTGCTTTTGCAAAACCTCTAAGCTTCCCTTTCTGCTCCTGCAGCCAGCCGGCCAACACAACACCCATAGCAGAGGCAGAAGCTGAAGAGAGTGTGTATGTAAGGGTGCCATCAGATGTGGACACAGGTGTGGACCTCACTGACAGGTGCCCAAGTGTGGGCCTGAAGGTGCTAATCCTGCCATTCTCTTGAGAGGCTGCCCTTCCCTAACTGTTCCCGTGTGAGCATCGTAATGTGGCTCCCGGGCCTGGGTCCTTCTGGGAGTGGAGTGGTGGAAGGAAGGACATGGGGTTGAGATATGAGAGGGAGGTGCCAATGAGGGCTTACCTGGTGTCACCTGAGATAGGAAGAAGACAGTGAAGATGAGGACATAAACCAGCTTCATGGGGTCGGTTCCGTGGGGACCGCTTTCAGAACTCCTGGGAGGAGAAAACAGATGCATAACCATGCTATCAAATAAAAAGTGGCTCAAAGCTTCCCATACAGATCTAACCAGGGCAACTCATGGCTGTAGAGAATGCCCTTTCCAGACAGAGCACTCGCTAAATGCACAGTGAGCAGCGAAGCCTGAGAAATGAACGGGCACAATGGTGTGCAAGCTCCATGCAGAGCTGGGCGCTGCCCTCTGTTCCCGCCAAAGACAGGGCAAACATAGCAGTGGTCATGGAGGTGAAAGAATGGCTGCAGCGGTGGATGTTGCCATGAATGTGCTGATGAATACATGGCTTTCTCCCCATTTACTCTCCTGGAACTTGGACGATCTGCTGCGTGAACTTGGGCACACACAGTGCCCATGCCACCTCCATCTTCTCACTAACGGCTTTGGCACTTGGCAGAACGAAGCCATCACTCACCTCTCAGACTCACCTCCTGACTCCACTCCCTCCTCAGATCCCTGCAGCCTCTTGTATGCACAGAGAAGCCGTGTCACTGGGTCATGTGCTCTGACAGGGGCCTAGTCCTGCCCAGTCTGTCCTATGACATCGGCCTTCCATCCCAGCTTGACCCTGCTGACTCAGGTTGTGTTTAGGCCTCCATGAGATCTCATGACCCATCAACCTCGTGGCCATGGCCTGGCTTAGCTCTGTGGAGGTGCAGGCAAAGGGGCTTTCCTCCTGACCCAGAGGCAGAGTGAAACCGGGCCTCCTCCCACACTAGGCCCTGGTCTGCAGGCCCCTCATCTGTCTTCACCTGCTGTGTCTGTCCTTTGTCCCAGGTGTGGCCCACCAACCCTACCTTAGAGACCCAGGGAGCTGGGGGTGAGGTTTCTCATGTTTTTTTTGTTTTGTTTTGTTTTGTTTTGTTTTGTTTTGTTTTTTACCAGAAAATCCTGGGCTCCTCTTTCTGAAGGAACCTTGAACTCGTCCACAGCAAGCATCTTCAGAAGTGGCCAGCGTAGACATTCTGCACATTTCCCTCTCATTTCCAGGTAATGGTTGATGTCCAACATGTGTTTCTGTAATAAGAGGCTGACTGAGAAGAGCACACGGAGGGGCGTCTGCTGTCTTGCAGCCAGAGGTCCACCGTCTGCTTCACGCAGGTGCCCACGCCATTCCCAAGTGCTCACATGAGGAAGGGAAGACTGGAGACCCTCATGTGGTGGTGAAGTTTGCAAATCCTACATTAGAATCAGGAACCAGGTCCCAGACCCGAGCTCTAGCCTGGTCCCCTGCAGAAGGGACTCCTAATCCCTTCATATGGGGATCAGCTTCAGACCACTGTGGCTATCAGTTCATATCTAAGAAGAATAAATTGGTTGATAATGTTCCATTGACTCATGAGAATTTAGAAATTTCAGGCTCAAAATAAAGGTTTTTGTGATATTAACTAGCAGATTTAAAAATTCACTGTAATGGGGGAAAGGTGCAAGAATAAACAAGATTATTTTTATAAACAGGAACAAATTGTGACTTCCACCACCAGGTATAATAACATACAATGATGCTGAGGCTTAAAACATGTGGCATTGGCCCAGGAAGAGAAAAAAGTACTGGGTTTCTGTCCTAGCCAGATTGGCTCAGTAGATAGAGCATCAGTCCATGAACTGAAAGGTCCTGGGTTCAATTCCCATCAAGGGCATGTACCTCCATTGCAGGCTCAATACCCGACCCTCATGAGGGAGCGTGCAGGAGGCAACCAGTCAATGTGACTCTCTCACATCAATGTTTCCCTCTCTGTGTCTCTCCCGCTTCCTTCCACTCTCTCTAAAAATCAATGAAAAATATACTCGGGTGAGGATTAACAACAGGAAAGTACTGGGTTCCTAACTGCAGAGCCAGTTAACACCTGGAATGCCTGAAAGCCCAGCTCTTGGCCCTGTTTCTTCTGGGCCCACATTCCCACAGGCATCCCTGGGGCAGAACTGGAGCATTCTGGGGGGAGGGGTACATTCTACAACTGTCCCCCTAGGTCCTGCCTGACCTGCCTCCCGGGTTCTAGTGATGTTGGTCCTCATGAGACAAGGGACATCTGTGCTTCTGGTTTCTGAGGGTTTGCTTTAGCATAACTGAAGGTGATGCATGCATGACCTGAACCAGACTCATGGGTGGCTCGGTCTCCCTGAAGCGTCTCTTACTGGAACTCAGGAGCCACAGGAGGGACTGTCCCAGGGCAAGGCTCAGTGGTTGAGTATCAACCTATGAACCAGGAGGTCATGGTTTGATTCCCAGTCAGGACACATGCCTGGGTTGCAGGCTCAATCCCCAGTGTGGGGCATGAGGAGGCAGATGATAAATAGTTTTCTCTCATCATTGATGTTTCTCTCTCTCTCTTTCTCTCTCTCTCTCTATCTCTTTCTCTCTCTCTCTCTCTCTTTCTCTCTCTCTCTCTCTCTCTCTCTCTCTCTCTCTCTCTCTCCCCTATCCCTCTCTCAAATTCAATAAAAACATATTTTTTTTTAAAAAGGAAGAAGAAACAGAAGAAAGAGGGAAGCACAGAGGAATGGACTACATGGGGCTGTCCAGAGACTTTGGAACAAAGAGATGTCAGTGACTCTGTGAATGATGGGAGAATTATGTGACAAAGCAAAGAAGGTTTCAACTTCATTTTGAAGAAACAAAAATTAGAAAATGAATTATTTTTAAATCACGCATAGGCTCCTAAGTTCTCCTGACGATGGCAGACTTTCCCACTCAAGGACAAGGTCCACTGTGGATGCTTCCCACAGACACTGAGCACAGCAAAACCTGCAATGACCCCTGTCCACAGACTGCGAGGAGGCCAGTGCTGATCAGGAAGCAGGGAATCACACTCATCTGTGTCCACCCAAAGTCTTCACCCACACTGACTGACAGCAGGGACAGCCCATTGTGCATCCGCACACTGAGCAGAATCCTAGTGGTTACTCATTGATGGGACCCAACCATGCAGTCGGCCTGGACTGTTACTCATCACAGTGTCAGCCAAGCTCCATTCTTCTCCATGGACTGTTTAGGTTTTGGAAGAAGGCAAATATAACTTATCTTTTCTCTGTCTCCCAACTTCCTGGGCACCTTGGGCACCTGCGACCTCCTCCCTCGCCTCCCCAACTTGTGCTGTAAATTACAGGCGGTGATGCTGAACCCCAGACTGGCTCCTCACGAGAGGCATGATGTGGCGTAGTGAAAAGATCATTTACTCACAATGTTGCAGCAGGTTCATGGTCTGGACAGGAACAGTGAGCAGGAAGACAGGAAATAGTCACCCTAACCCAGGCTCAACCTTGGAGTGGGTGCCTCCTGACCTGCCACTGAGACTCCTTTCTGGGTAGTCTCTGTACATTGTGCTTTCATCCTGCATGTCCCCAACTTCACCCGAGCCCTGTGCTGCCCCCCCAGCTCCTTCCCCAAAGCAGCAGCGGGCCCAGGACCAAGCACTGTCCTCTCATCACTCGCCCACTACAGCGAACTCTCTCCTGTGTACACTCCCAGAGGTTTCAGAGGAAACCACAACTTCCCTCCAGGCAGACAGAGTTCTGGAACCAACTGCAGCCTTTGATGGTGCTGCTTCTCGTGCCGGCTCCTCATGTGGGTGAGCTGCTGCACCTGGCTGGGTTTTATTTTCTACATCTGTGGCGTGGGGCTGCTAACCCAGTGTAGTTCTCATGAAAATGCCTGCAGAACTGAAAGCGGAACATGCACTTAATTCTTAACATTGATTCCCTCCCCACCACTCATTCCAGGAAGCTGATGTTCTAATCAACCTGAAGACAAAATGATCGTGGACAGACGTGAGTGTTGTGTGTTTTTATTTTGCTCCGAGGAGCCACAGGCCGGGTCCCAGGGCTGGGCTCCCTCCCAAGGGCGCTCTCATTGGTTCATCTTTATGCGGCAGCAGATAGTGAAAGTTCTGCAGGGCCTCTGAAGAGCTCACAGTTTGGGGTGCCCCGCTTCAGGCAGACCCCACCCTGAAGGTAGCAGGGCCTTTCAAAATTGAGAGTCCCGGTGCTGTCTACAAGAAGGAAGTGAAATCTGTGTGAGGCTGTGGTCCCAAGAGCTGAGACCTACCTCCCCATTGGACAGACCCATCCCTCCCAGCAGAATACCACCCATAGCCGCTCTTCTCACATCCTTCCTCAAGATCCCACTGATACTGATACAACCTCTGGCCAAACTGTCCTTCCTGCCACGGGAACCCCTGGGCTTGAACTGGACCTGGATGGGGAGGTGTGCTGAGTCTGTAACGATTGCCCACCTGTTCACCAGTTAACTCACCTGTCCCACCACACAAAACCCAACCTAACTCTCACAGTCTCAAGGGAAGAAGCCTTGCCCAGCTACCCTCTCTGTCACTCCTGTGATATGAATGGCTAGAGGTCTCTGGTCAGGGTCCATCTAATCTTTGTCTCCACTCCAGGTTACACTAACCAAGTGATTCGAATAACTGGTCAGGTTCTCAGCCATCCAGGTCACTTGCGGAAAGGGGAGGCAGTCGATCACTACCTGCAGGACTTGCAGTGGTGTAAGGACACACCACCAGCTCAGAGCACTTCTAACTACTCTAGGGGAGCGGGTGGAGGTGCCCGCTGGCAGCTCCGTGAGGCTGTGCTCTCAGCTCTGACTGAGGGGAAGGAAACAGCAAATGGATGGTAGGAAAGGGCAGCAGGACTGGTATTTACCGGGCAGTATCTGGAGGATGGTAAGGAGAGCAGAGAGGAGGATGTGCAGGAGTCTCATTATCACTTACCGTGGTGCCTGAGACCTGGGGAAGGGTCGGAGGACAAGATCAGCGCCCAGGTTCTCTGTCCCAGGAACTGGCAGTTGCAGAGGAGAAACGTGGAGATGATCGTCTCTCTTCCTGAGGCCCTGCTCCTCCCAACAGCACGGTGCTCTTGTTTCCTGCACCCCAGGTGGGCACCGGCCTTGCCTGAGGCCCCTGGCAGGCCCCAGCACAAGGATGGTGACAGGTGCAGCAGAGGTGTCTGAAAGTGAATGGGAGCCAAGAGCCAGGCTGTTGCAAAAGGAAAAAAGGACGTTCCCTCACAGGCAAGGAAGCTCCTCAGAGAAAATTCTGAGGCCAGGGCTCCTTACACGAAAGATCCAGAACGTCGGGGTCAGCTCTAACCTGCCAAGAGAACCCATGTTAAAGGGAAAGAGTCCACAGCGGTAAAAGATGAGTGGGAAAACGTACCTAACCATCTGTAGAATTTACTTTCATTTAAATCTATTATTTTTCTGATAATACTTCCACATTGAAAAATTCCAAATAATGAAGAAATTTAAAAGATAGATTAACCCCCTCCTCTAGTTATAGCCACGATTTCCAATTCAAAGTATTTCAGTCCTATGACTTTACACATAAAATTATGTAAATGTTTATTTTAAATATAGAATCATACTTTATAATCAGTCTATTGCATTTTTTCCACTTAAATATTATCTTGGGAATTCTTGAGTATCTATCCATTCAGATATACTTGCCTCATATAGTTGTATGACTATCCCTCTATCTTTAGAAGTTTGTGTAGCAATGACTTACACAT